GTTGTGGCTTAGGGCTTCAGGGTCTGGGGTTCAGGCTGTAAGGTCAAGGGCTCAGGGTTTAGGTTACCGGGTTTGGGGCGTAGGCCTTTGGGATTAGGGCTCAGGCTTCCGGGTTAATGTTTTAGCGTTCCATGGGGTGGAGGGGCTTGGGGCTGTCTGTAACATGTAATATCCATCTCTTTCTCTTGATTGCAATGGAAGATCAGTGCGCAGCAAGGCCTGGAAATCGTTTCAGGATGCTGGGGGTGTAGAGGTGTGTGTGTGTGTGTGTGCGCGTGTGTCAAACTGCGAGATTATTGTTTAGAAATAAGGAGTCTTAGCAACACCAAATTGCAAAAATCGAGGTGACATCAACTGGGAATTGGAGCCCTGGCTTCAGGGTCTACGGGAACGCCTACATTCGTCATAGGTGTCGAGGGATCAGGGACTGGAGGATTGGAGGCTCGTGACACTAGGCTTTGGAGTTTAGTGTTACTCTAGGGCCGGGGGACTTCAATATCTTAAGATTACGTCACGCAAGGCTTGGTACGAGTTGAGGAGGCTTGGGGAGGCTTCTGTAGCTCAGTGGCGGAACGGAAGTCTCGGTGAGAGTCTAGGGTTCAGGGATTGGGCTTTAGGCTTCACGGTCTCGGCTTTCTGGAGGGTTGGGGTTTTTGGTCTCGATGCTTGCATACTCCTCAACCCAGAACGTCGTAGAACAACCTGAATCTGGCTCAGGTTCGAGACGGCAGAGTTCAAGCCCTTCGAAGGTGAGCGGCAGGAGCACCCGAAGCTTTAAAGTAAATTGATTCCAAAGCCTAGACCCAGAGTCGAAACAGCAACGACACCTGAGACCCTGAACCCGAGTCAGACTCTCGGGGCTTTCAGGGCAACAGTTTTTTGTGGGTTTCAAGGCTGTTCCTAACCTTTGGGCTTGCGGAATCTAGAGAGCAGGGTTATTATTGTTTTTTGGGGTGCAGGGTTTGGGGTCCTGTGTCGTTGTCAGGCTTCTGCTCTACCTTCGAAGCCTCAAGACCATAAGGCTTGCAGGAGCTGGAGCGCCGAAGCGTCACCGACCATGTGCTGAACTGGGCGCCGGAGGCCAGGACTTTTGGGGGGATTTTCGGGAGCTGCGCACTTCTGTCTCAAGCGGTTTTTGCGTGTTTTGTTTGGGTTGGGGGATCTCGGTCTCTTGAAAATGAGGGCAGCGTGTGCTCGTGCGAACACGCATGCATTGATGTAGCGCCGTGGCTTGCCATAGCTTCCTGTGTGTAAGTGAACAATTCTGTTGTGATCAGTACGAAGCTAGCACAATATGCTGCAGCGAGTCATGCTTCTGAGCGAACCTGGCCCCGAATTGCAAGAGTGCTAAACTGCGAGACTCCAAAACCCAAGGATCCTAAGTCTTATGTTAATTAGTTGATTTTTAACCTTCAGCCCCAACGCAACACCAACCCGCCAAGCAAAATGATGCTCTGACCATGTTCTCTCCCGGCCCCTGAGGCCGTGAGCTATGCGCCACACTGCTTGGCCCGTGAAAGCCGTGAGATGATCACAGGCGCCTCTTGCGCTTCTTGCTGGGCTTAGAGGCCTAAACTTTGAAGCCCCAAACCCGGCAAGGACAGAACGCCAACGAGATTATCATGATAGGCTTTTGCTGGTCTTTCAAGTTTTTGAAAGAGTCCGACGTGGGTGTTGCGGGTGTGTTCAAGGGGACTCTGAGGTTTTGGGGGAAACAGCTTTCATCCTCGTGCCCCAAACCCAGATCCTAAAGGGTCCAGCGGATCCAGCAATCAGGTACTCGGTTCTCGCATCGAGATGGTAGTGATGTAGGTCAGTTTGATTATATTCGGCGAAATGTGTGAAAGCCAGGGCCCACAAAACTTCCTCCGAAGCGAACCTCACCCACGTTTTCATTGACCCCAAGGCTTCATGTACCTCTACAGTATATGCTTCGGCCTTGCAGGGGTTTAAGTTTCTGTGCTGTGAGGCCAAAGCATCTACGTGTATGTACTAGGTAGGTAGCTGGATTCTTCCTAAACCAAAAACCCCAAGCCCTAAGACCTAAACCAGCAAAGCCTTCTGAACTTCAGCCTCACCGCCAGAGAGCCAATCCGGACTCCGGCCCTGAAGCCCTTGCGAGACCCGTAATTTCCCGGTCTGACTAACTAGCAATACTTTGTGACAAACAAATATGAGTACAGAACTGCATACATACATGCATGCATACATACATACATACAGAAATATGAGATCAGTTACGTGTTTATATAGATGTCATGTATACATATATATATATAAATACATACTTCAGTTATGTATGTATGCATGTATGTATGTACGTATCTATGTACTTGCATACTAGTATATGCACACCACACAAACAAACACACACACACACACACACATATATATATATATATATATACATATCTCCAGAGTCGCTATATAATCATTGGGAAAACCCATAATGCATGTACAGTCTGATTACCAAGGCTCGTACAGTATACCTACACCCCTAACATTGCAGCCTGCTCCGCACAGAGTGTCTACAGAGGTTAGGGTGGGAGGTCAGTGCGGAGTGTCTACAGAGGTTAGGGTGGGAGGTCAGTTGATGACCTTGCATGGCGGCAGCAGAACTTTCAACAAAGGCATGATTGCACAACATGTTAACCGAAGATGGACCGACCTAGGCGGATGTTTATGATTCGGTTGGGGCTATTAAGCTTGGGGACCGAAGCAAAGCAAGAACTGCTAAGAGAAGTTTAGAGTTCAGCGCACTGTGGTTCTGGAGTGTCAAGCAAGGCGGGGGCCTAACAAAATCCGCAAGTAAAGCTTCTTTACAAGCGTATGACGGTGAAGCCCGATGAAACTCCAGAAAACCGCCTACCGACACGATGTCAGGTGCGGAGCCAGTTGAGCCCCGGCGAGTCGAGTGCAAGATGGGCAGCATCAACAACCACAACCACAGCTACAACCACAACCACAGCTACAACTGCTACCACAACAACGACAACGATAACAGCAACAGACACCGAAACGGCAACGACAGCACCCGCAGCAGCAGCAACAGCAAAGACATCAATAGCGACACAAATCTAGGGACGTCCTTGACCCGAAGCTACTAAAGAAAGCGATGGTGGTGAGGCCGACCAAGCTCCCGAGTCTAGGTGGTCTTGATTGGTTTCTCAGGCCTATAAGGCTCATGTGGGGAGTGCTGCGTGTGGAGACGGTTTTATACAGATTTAGGCTTCCTAGGCCAGGCTGTTGTGATGTCTGCATTGTTGAAGCCATGGTGCCTGCGTGGTTCTGCGCAAGTTCAGGTTCGGGGTGGGATGACTATGCTTGTGGTTGAAGGTTTGGGTTCTAGCAGTGCATCTTGTCAAACGCCGTATAGACCTTTTGGTGCCCCTTAGGTTCAGCCAACTCTGCTTGAACACTGAGCTGCAAGTCCACGTTTCTCACAGTCCCGATGTCTGTTTTACACCAAAACCTCTGGCGTCACCGAGGAAGGTGACCACTATCTCAGTGTGGAAGAGCGGCAGAAGGATCTCAGGGGAGCCCTGGACCCTCAACGTCCCAAAGAGTTGACGATGCATCTTCAAGGCTGCTGGTAGAGGGGGCTTGGCAAAAAACTGCTACATGCTGTTGTCTCTCCTGTCCTAACAAAAGCCTTCAAACATCAAAGCCTGATACATTGCAATCCGAAGCCCGGGCAGTATTCACCAAAACCCGAGACCCCCAACATGGCAGTCCCAATCGTACCTTCCCCCCTACAACTAGAACCCATGCCACAAAACGCCCAACTTCAATTAGGTCGCCCTGGGAAATGAATCCAAAAATCACCGCACTTGGAGGATGTCGTTGGCGCTTGCTACCATGCTCTGGGCGTAGACAGCACCTCCGATTGCTTTGGGGATTCAGCGCTGAATTATCAAGAGGTCTGATAAAACATAGCGTAGTCTAAATATCCCGCACCATCCCCTTGTAGTGATTATACTATGATGTAAACCCCCCTGAACCCGTAGTCTCAGCTAAGGCGGCCCGTAGATACTAGAGGTGGCAATGTTTCGGGCTTGTGGTATTTATGGTGTTTGGGATGCAGAGCGGGTCTCTCGTCGGTTTCAGTTTGTTTTGGGAGTGTAGGGTTGTGAAGCGTGCAGGCAATCGGGCTCAGGGTTGAGAGGACGAAGGGTTTTGCTTCAGGGCTTCTGGTTTAGGGCAAAGGGTTTCTGGCTTACGGCTTATGGTTCGGGGTGTATAACCGGAACCTTCAGCACAAGCTGAAGCCTTCGGGCTAAGCACCAGCCTAGCACGAAGTCAAGCCGAAGCAGTCGCGCCGTAGTGCAGCAGGAAACTAGTCTAGCCGGACAAGCATCTTCAGGTTTGTGTATGTGTATGTATATATATATATATAAATCTATATTCACATGTGTTGCACACCCTCGAACTAACAGGACCGCCGTCCTAAACCCAGGCTCTAAGAGCGAGGAACAGCATCCCCATAGCTGTCAAGATAACTCTGAACCTTAAAGTTTTGTCGCTTCTGGGGGCTTCGTCTTTTACCGTGCTGCAGGCAGTGGGGCGTCAGCTGCCGAGACCTGGGGTGAGGAGGGAACACCCGGGAAGAAGACACTTTGTCGCACGGTGACCTTTGGGGTTTGAAGTTTAGTTCCGAGTCTGCTTTGATTCGGTGTTGTGGGCACCGATACTTGTCATCGGAGGGTCGGCGGCTACTAGAGCCGTAGTGCAGGCCTCGGCCATCGTCTAACGTCTGAGCCAAATACACATGGTCATGCAGTGCAGTACAGGACCTAGTTGTGCCTGTGCCTGCAGGCCTAAGTATGCATTTAATGGTGTCCCCGTCTGCATACTGTTAAATACAAGGTTCTAACATACCCGCACTCCGAAGTTGGAGAAAGTATTGATCCACTTTAGTATATTGTGTTTGCTTCTATTGAATAGTGAGTTCTTGCTAGGCCTACTGGTATCAGGAATAGTAGTATCCGTATGATCTTGCAACATGGGGTGGGGTCTAGGCTTTCGGAGCAGGGTGAGTTCATGCCGTGGTCTCCCGGAAAGCACCGTCAGCATGTCGAGGTGTCATTTTCGAGGTTGTGTAGCAGAGGCTAACGGGTTTTGAGTGAGTATGAGCAGTATTTCACTGATCGCACGNNCCCCCCCCCCCCCCCCCCCCATATTTAGCGACGCAATATACCTCACAAGCCCATTCTACTTGCTACGGCCTTGCTACGGCCCCTATTTATGGATCTTGGCCGTCAAGCAGGAAAGTGGTTCTATGATCCTGTAATTCTTTAGCGGGTGCTCGCGGGGAAGTGTTGTTGTAGTAAGGCTGGAGCTGTTGTTTTATGTTTGTCATGCTTTGCGTTAAGGCCGTCTGGGCACAAAGGAACATTTGCAATTGTTGGAAAGCCTTTATGATAGTGCCTATGCTGGCATAGATTAGTTGAGTACTCAGCCTGCGTGTTGATCGCTTAGATCGATTTAAACATGGGAGCTTCTGTTATGCCAACAGCAGGCTCTAAGTTCGGAGGACCTCACATTAACTGAGCCCGTAAGGCTGCAGGGCAGCATCCCTGCACGACCTAACCCAGTTTCCCTAGTGTTGTGCAACATCAGCTAATCTGGACGGGAACCCTGCACTACCCTGAAGCCGACCCGGCAACTCCCGAATCCTGCTCGAACATCGAAGGCCCCACGCTTCGAGCCCTAGCTCGGGCGTCTTGAACTGGAAGCCGTATACGCCACAGATGAAACACCTGCCCCCCGCCCGACACCAGAGCCAAAGCCCTCGAAGCCCGATATGCAAAGTCCCGCAACTTACGCACTCCCCTAACCATCCGAAGGCCTAATGACATGCAGAGCGCCCTAAACCCTGTACAAACAAACCCTCAGCGCCCGAAGCTGAAGGGACACAGACTGGCAAGATCTCTACATCTTCGATGCGTGCCTCGGTGTCGAAACCTCCGCTGGGAAGGAAAGGTGTCGTAGTGTTCCTGGTTGAGGCCCATGACTCAAGGACCAGAAGGTCTGCAGGCCCGGCGGGCTTCACGTTTAGAGGGTTTCTTGGGGGCTCGGTTCTGCAATTCATACATCCCTGGTGTCCAGCCAAGCCCGTGCCAAAGTGCCACAACTCCGGCCGTTTAACCATTACTGCACACCGGGAACCATGACCTTGTGTTCAAAGCCGAAAATCCCGAACTCCTGAACCGTCTGCCCATAACCCATGACTGCGAGAACCAAGTTCGCAAACCGACAAACCTTGCAGCCCGCACTGAGGAATCCTACTTTTCCGGGGCTGACCGCGGATGCTGTTTGGGACTGTAGCTCCCGTGACATCAATCGCAACTCGCCGAACCCTAAATCCTTGGGTTTGGGGGACTTCAGCTTCGGCTGTAGGCTCAGGCCGTTAACGCTCCAAGACCCGAGCCCTGCGAACTCCTTTCTCGAGTTGGGCCTTAAAAAAACTGCACCTGGGGCTCAAACCCTGAAACCTTTTAGAAGAATCGACTTGGAAGCCTTGACCTCGGCTCCCTACAACTTCTATTGAGGCTTGCATCACGGCAGATAGTTGCGACACCTTTTTTCGTTAGACACAATCTAGAGGTTCTTGCCGTCGTACATCTGTGAACCTCCCCGCGATCCTTGCTCCTAACCTACCTGAACCTTGAACCTCCCTGAGCACATCCTCGAACTCAAGCCTTCGACCGGTGAGTCGGACAGCTTGAAACCAAGGAAGAATAGACTCGAAGCCGGTTCTCAGCACAGGCTTGCTCGACCTTACACCTATAAAGCGTTAGCCCGCGGTTGCCGTTGCTGGCAGCTGCCGGCTGTGTTTGTTGTCCTTCGCTGTCTCGTGCTCTCGGTGTGTCCTCGCTGACACGGGAATTGTCGCCGTGGTCATGGTTAAATGTGTTTGCAGTCTTTGTTGTCGTCGGCGCGGTGCGATCGCCATTGTCGTTGCATTGGCTACAGCTTGTGTTACAATTTCTGTTAGTGTTGTTGTTGTTGTTGTTGTTGTTGTTGTTGTTGTTGTTGTTGTTGTTGCTGCTGTTGCAGTTTCTCCCGCTCCGCTTCTTCCGGCTTACTGCTGTTGCTGTTCGTGGTGATGGAGCCCTTGCCATGTTTGTTGCTGATGGTGAGCGCTGTTCCTGTTTTGATATTCAGGTCCTCAACCTCTCTACTTTGTGCGTCCTCCTAATCTGATTTGTCATCCATATCCCCCTGCAGCATCTTAAACTGCCATCGTCATTACCACAGTCAAAATGCCTGTCTGCTCATCTTCAAGAACGGCCACCACCGTCGACATCATCATCACCGGCACCGAACAGACTGCCAGTCAGGTAACTACAAAATGGCGATGTGGGAAAGGGTGGCGGAGATGCGGACTGAAATGCTTGAGCGACTTGGCACATCTTGTGTTGTTGTCACGTTGGAAAGTTGCTACAGTTTTTTATGCTGCCGCGACAGGTGTAACCACCGTAGTAGTAGTAGTAGTAG